TCTTTGCGATACACCCTGAACCCCAAGCCGGTTTCAGCCTGGCAGGAGCGCAGCCCGGCTTCCCAAGCGAGCTCATCCTGGAGGACGGTAGGTGAAGCGCGAAAGGAATCAGGGTGTTTACGGCTGACGAGCTTTAGACTATGACGAAGGCCTTCTGGCAGGGTGGAGCGGTCTATAGTGCTTCAAACATGAGGTTCTCTACGTTGGAAAGGCTGGCATGACTGGCATATAAGTTGCAAACAGTCACTGCCGGAGGGCCCATCTCGAAACCCAACAGCCCCAAGCCTACACACTGAACTCCTGAACCCTCTTCACCCTAAACCCTTCGGCACCCCCTGCTCCGTTATTCCTTGAAGCGAAGGTCGGCGGCAGAATCCTGGACTCACCGGCCGATGGCAGGCAGATGCTGCAGAAGGCAGAGGAGGAGCTGCCTCTGCAGGCTGCACGTCGGGCTCTTGGGGCTCTTTTTCTAGGGCTCTTTGATGCTTATATAGGGTTTATATAGGGTCTAGAAACCTTATAAAGCCCTTAGCCTTAGACTTAATAACCCTTACACCCCCTAAACCCTCAAAACCTAAACCCTAAACCCTAAAAAGCTTTAGGTAGACACTTCATAATCAGCCTGAAAGAGCATCCTAAGAACCACAGAGGCTTCCCCTGAACCCGGACTCCAATCCCAATTGCTCATGACCCCAAACCCACGGTTGCGTAGGCTTCCTTAAAGGGATCTATAAGGGTTTCTATCGGGCTTCTATAAGGGCACTATAAGTTTCGGGATCTCTATAAGGGTTTCTCTATAGGGCTTCTGTAAGGGCACTACAAGGGTTTCTACTCCGGTAGTCCTCTAAAGTCGGGTCCCCTGTTCGGGTCCTCTGTTTTTAAGCGTCCGGTACTATATTGGGGAACTACCCAGTAACATACAGAAACCTTTTTGGTGGTGGGGTTTTGCACCAGGTTCAGTGTTTGGCTCGTTTAGTGTTGGGGTACCTAACTTCCTCGCGAGTGCACTTGATCAGCCCTACTCTCAGCAAGTGCTTCTCTGGCCAACATGCGCGTTGTAGGGCTGTTTATTCCCTGAAGCCGGCCTCCGGAAGGACAAACCACCCGAGACCCCAAAATGAAACCCTAAACTCTAAATCTAAATTACCCTAAGCCAGAAAGCTTAAACTTTAGGGTTTAGAACCGAACTCCGGAGGCCTAACACTGCAAGCTGCTCGAACTCCCTCTATGAGGCTTGGAAGTCTTGTCAGGTATACCCGAACCTGAAAGCCTGAACCCCAAATTCAAAACTACGGCATTTACAGACGTCCCAAATCCGTACAGCCCTACGCTCACGCCCTGCCCTCTTCCCACAGAGGCACAAACTTAGTTCAACGCCCTACATACCACAGCAACATGCCCTGAATCCCCTTCGGCATCGCAGAAGCCCTCACACCCATCAAACTCAAAAATCCTAGAACTCCAGAGGCCCCAAATCCCAAACCCGTGAATCCCGTGCTCCTAGAGGTAACAGTGCCCATGAACGCCCCGCAGCTACAGCCGAAATACAGCTCTACCGAAGGTACCCTTTCGGGGTCCTGGGAGGCGACGAAAGAAGACCAAAGCCTCCATAACCCAAATCCCTCGAGGCTTCCTTTGCTACTAAGATTCTGCCGCCGTGTATATAGGCAATCAACCCCTAGAAAGCCTCAAACTTGAACCTTTCTATCAAGCATCCCCGGAGACCGCAAAAAAGCCCCACAACCCCGACCCTTCAACCTGAAACCCCTCAGCCTCGCAGCTCTGCGTCAGGGCCAGGGCTGTCAGTGCCGGCTGCAGTGGCGACCAAGGCCTCGGCTGCGGGGGTTGACTCAAGAACCTCTCCGCGTGAGCTCATCGAAACTCCTGCGCGGCGTGGCCTCTTTTTGACAACTGGCCCCTGCACTTTCGCGTCATCGGGACATCGGGCTGCGGGGCATTTCGCCCGGCAGATGGGTCTTGAAGACGTCAGCGACTTGGGAGACACGTCGCCGATGGCCCAAAAGGGACGGCAATGACGGCGGTGCCGGCAGAGGTGCAGAGGGAGGAAGCATCTCCTTGGTTGTAGCCGGACAAAGCGTCCGGTGCTGTGGCAATGCATTGCTTGGAGCCGGTGGAAGTTCCAGCAGAGGACTTGGCACAGAATGCGCGTCGCTCCGCGAGGGCATGGCAGTGTAGCCCTCCGCGCCGGCAGGCTTTGCGCCAGTGATGAAATCCAACGCGTTCAGCACGTAGTTGTATGCTCCGATCATCGAAAGTGTACTTTCGATCTTCAGCTCATGCCCACAGCTGCAGCGGCAAGTCTGTCCGCTCATTTTCTCCAGGCACTTCTTGCAAATGCCTCTGGAGCACTTCCTTGGTTTATGCTGGGAAGGACAGGGAAAACACAGAACCTGCGTATGGGCTCCCCTAAACTATCGGAAAATCCAAAACCACGATGGGCAAGTAGGATCCTGTCATCCTAACGCTGACCAAGCTTCGGGCAATGGTGATCGAAAAAGGATCCCAGGGCCTTTTTGCAGTGG